GGTTTAATTTGGAAACATTAGTATTTTCTGCTATGTTTTTGTAATGCTATCACAAGGCTTTCACAGGGTTTTTTCTAGATTATCACCACTGACTAAATCAAAGGAGGTACATTTTTTGAAAGTTTCTCTTTTCCCTCCCAATAAATTATGTGACTTGCAAATATTTCAGACAACTGAAGATGGTGTTGAACTATTGATAACTTCAACAATGAAGTTTCTTTCTTTATTTTTGTGTAATATGCTTTGTTAATTCATTTATTAAATGTTGCCGGAAGTCCTGGGTTTGACAAACTATATCTGGAAGCAAGGCCTTTGATCAGGAGATTGGACGTTTTGAGAAGCGTGGAACCACCTTTTAATTTCTGTTCTTCCTAGGTTCACCCTGAGTCGAGGTGGTAGCACTTATCAGGGTAAATAGTTAACCACCAACAAAATACTATGAAAGTATAAAAATACATTTTTAGAGTCTGTCTATATTTCTGAGATGAGGTATTATGTACATTATTCGGACTATTGTCCTCATCTTTTTTGCCATATCTATCATAACGTTTCGGCCGTTGTACGCTCCAGCCTTCTTCCGGTAGTTGGGATGTCGAACTGAACCCTTTATTTTGCTCACTGGGGTAGACTGTTCTAGTTTCACGTGCCATGTTTGATGGATGTCAGTTGTCAGTTATCTCCTGTTAATTCTCCTCTGAAAGTTCTTTTAACCGGGTATTTAACTCACACTCTTTGGGTCCTGTCACTGGATCTAACTAACGCCTTTATCCACTGTGCCATGTGTCCTTGAGGACATCTGGGTATGAATTTCTGGGTATTATAAAACTAATGTCTTTAGCAACCCTTTTTACCAGTGCTCATATTGCAACTTTGTTGTTATCATTGCTTTTCTCTGGCACTCCTTATTAATGGTTCCCATATTGTATTTATTTCTATGCTTGGTCGGCTCAGGAGATTTTTGTGGCCTAGCATATGTGCTGATTCCTTAAGTTTATGAATTTTCCACTGTTGTTCCTTGTCAATGATCTCAACATGATCCCATAGAGGGCGGTGATCTCCCTTCTCTCTCCATATGTGGTCAGCCATGCCTGATTTTTTTACTTCCCCTCGTGTTACAGCTTTCTGGTGTTCTTGAAGCCTTACCTTGAGGGGGCGGCCTGTCTCTCCTTTATATTCCTTTCCGCAGCTGCATGGGATAGCGTACACACAGTCTTTAGTCATATTCTCCTCTATGGGGGGGTCTTACTCGGGAGAGATATCTGCAAAGTGTCGTCAAGCTTTTGAAGGTTGTCCTGATGTTATATGGACCGCAGATCCATACATTTTTATTGTAAAAGTACCATCAACAATACATATTTATAGCAAAATTACCAACAATATATGAAAAATGGTCAGCTATATATTTTATCTGTAGCTGAAGGCATACAATTGAGTTCAAAATATATTTAGCTGAAACCATAAAACTGTGTTAAAATTTAGATTTTGGCATTAAATAACCTGTAGAGGTATGTGTTTGTCTTGTCTGGTTTTTGCACATCCGCATGTCGAGAGTACCTCATCACGACTGAGAAAAATACTGATGTTATATAGCTATCTCAGTCCCAGACTCATGCTGACTATTGGGTAATACCTGCCCAGTATCATTCATATGCAAATAGTCAGCCCCACCTACTCTCAGTAGAAGGTCTTCTCTCAACAGCCCATTGTGGAAGGGGACACAACTCCTGGTGCTTACAGTACCACATAGAACCAACTCTGAGTGTTTTATTGGGCTGACCCGATTCTCTGTTACAGGGTCTTGATATGCCACTAGACAATCAACCAAACCAAACCAACTGTTGTCTAATTAAATTCCATGTGTTATGTCCCTTTGAAGGAAGGGGTTAGAACGTGTGGAAGAATTATGAACAGAAACATTAATAATGAGCAGGAAGAGAAAAGAGTAATCAGGACAGTAGATAGCGACTGACATTGAATTTAAATTTTTACAGATTAAAGTTGGCTGGAAAGGAGTTGCACAAGCAAGAAAAAGCCATTAGCATAGAATTTGTAACTACATCTAGCCAGTTCAACTGTAAATTGATGAGATCTCAACTAAATTCAAAAAGTCTAGATACCATAACAAAGAGCTCATCCAAACAATTACCATGAAAGTACTTACAGAAAAGGCACAAAGAGGCAACCTTATGGCAGTGGGAAAGTGACTGAAGCCCAGCTACCAGATCAGGACGAATAATATTGCTGATTCTTCTTTGGATTTTATCAAGGAGGTTAAGGCAAATAGCAGGAGCACCAGACCATATGTGGCTGCAATATTCTAAGCATTGACAAATGATAGACTTATAGATAAGAATGACAGATTCTGGAGAGAAAAGTTGTCTTGCACGACACAGTGAACCAAATTTCTTTGGATCTGACCTAGCAATGAATTCAATATAATCTTTCTACTTCATGTCAGCTGAGAACATTAGCTCAAGAAGACGCAACGAGCCTCTTTCCTAGAGGTTAGCATCAGCCATGCTGATGGAAGGCAGAGTGGGTCTCTCAGATGATTAATGGAGAGAAGTTTAGCTTTGGAGATGTTAAAATTATCAAGCCATTTTTGCTCCAGTTAACAACGTACTTGAGTTCGTTTTGGACATTGGCTGTCATTTTGACCTGGAACAACACAGGAGAAGTAAAACCATTTTGACAGACTTGGAATGACACATCTGCACCATAAAATTCCACTTATTACTCATAGACAAGGAATTTGACATGAGAACTAACTCCTAGCCGATTGATAACTGGATTTATTTGTTTTTATAACTTTTTTTTTTTTGTAACATTATTTTTATTTGTTATTTATAAGTACAATCTACTCATACTAAAACCAAATAATCTCCCAACATGTAATTTATGACTATTGCTTGCCATTCCCACAATGAAGTAATTGTTTTGACAGCACCACTGAGTTGTTATTGTTTATTCTATAAATTCGTGTTTATGTTTTTATAGTTAGTGGCATTCCTTAGGGCCAACAAAACAAATCATAGCTATCACACCCTCTACATATATATAATTACAATACATTAACTGATACAGGACACATCTTTATCCCATATTTTAAGAATTAGTTTTTCTTTTTTTTTTTTTTTTTTTTTTTTTTTTGATGTACTTAATAAATTCAAATGGCTGGAATACTTGCAAAATTGTTCATACTCTGCCTACCTTTCTCTTCTATTCTCTTTCATTTTCACAATTCCTATCATTCAAAAATACCAAACTGTTCTTAAGGTAGATTACTGACTCTACAATTTGGAACATGTCCTAAGGGTTCGTGATACCTAATTTGGGAAACACTATCCGATCTTTGTTTTGGATTTTTTTTTAGGGAGTTGACAAACCTAAGAGGATAGATCTTTTATTTTTCTTTAATTTTCTTTTCTTTTTTTTTTTTTTTTGTACTGTGGGTAATCAGAAGCAGGTGTACATGAACAAATTGAAAATTTGAATACTGATGTTTTTAGGACCTTAGTATAATCGTCTACAAAGAATATGAAGCTGTGTAAAACTGTGACCTCCCATCATTTGAAGGGACACAACACAGGGAAGAAGTTTAATTGTGAAATAGATTAAAAAAAAAATATTTAAATGCCTCCATTCACAACTGGAATCCAAGGAATCTGAACTTGGACCTGCTAATTTCAAATAAAATAAATTTATTTATATATGTACATACATACATACAATATATATATATATATATATATATATATAAATAAATATAATGTGTGTGTGTGTATACACATTTGAAAATTTAAGATTTAAAAGCAATGCTGATATTTTCATATAGTGCTCAATATTATAAAATAGAGCAATGGTAATATTATTATTATATTAATATTATCATATTGATAATATTATTATAATATTAATATTGATAATATTATTATATTAATATTATAATATATTAATATTATAATATATTATGTCGGAGTTAACTCCTCCTTCAGTTCAATAACCCTTTCACCAGGAGTCTCTCTTCCCTGGCTATAAATAGCCGCAGACCCTTCGCCTATATCTCTTTTTTCCTTCAGGCCTGTGCGCCGACACCTTGAGGTAAATCTCTCCTTTTCATCAGGCTTTCAGCTATCAACCTCGAAATGTAGGCGCTAACAAGGGATAGCATGGAAACACGCTAAGCACAATACACACGCACGCACATACAGAATATTCACACACACACGCACATACAGAATATTCCCATACACTTCATCCTTTGTACTGTTTCCATGTATTGTAACTTGTTATTAATATATATTTGTGTATACATATATTATCGGTCTTGTGTTTTGTTTGCTTTCTTTGCCTTCTTCTTTGGACTTAATCAAAGTCCAACCTTTTTATGTAGTTGGGCCCGGCGAGCAGGAGAATCTGAACCTTACATGCGTTTCTTCTACGTCTTCTACGTCTGACTTCCCAACATCACAGCCACGGCCCTCGACAATTAATATTATATTATGTTAATATTATAATATGAATTTAATAATATCATAATTAATATTATATTAATATTATTATTGTATAAATATTATTAAGTTAATATTATAATATTAATAATATTATTACATAATAATATATACCTAGTTAGAAAACAATCTAAAATATTTTTTCATATTAAAATGTGCTACACACTATCGCGTTTTTTAAAAATGCTATTCAATTTTCCCCCTAAGTTGTGCATATAGCCGTTTTAATATTTACACGACAGAGGAATTTCGTAATAAAAATGGTGGATACATACCGGTTGAATAGCACATGTGACCTGGTGCATAGCATGTACAAATAATGGCGGGTGAATTTCTCATCAGCAATGAAATAAGTAAATATGTTTACTGTTGTCATGACAACATGAAGTGGACGATAAAGCAAAAGTTAGATACGTCTTCCCTCCTCCTAAAAAAAAAAAAAAAAAAAAAAAGGAAAAGGCATCTTTGATTTTCGAAATTCCTTGAAATATGGAACGTAAGATTAATTTTTTTTTTATTTCATTTTTTTCGTTGTTGTAATTTTTTGTGTCAATTTTCTTGACTCAAAAAAAGCTTGATGTTTTTTGTTTTTTTAACGAAAACTTCGTTAATCATTGCTAGCAATGATTAAAAAATGTAAAAAAATAATCAAAAATACTTTGATCTTTCCTCTTAATAATAACATAAAGAATTAGACAATAAAATATTATTTTCATCAAGTTTAAGGCCCTTTTTAGTCATATGCTCTTTTTTAGCGATCTCATGGAGGTACATAACTTCTGTCGCCTAATATTGAAACTTGTTTTATTTAATTTTTTTTTTTTTTTTTTTCTTCGGACGTTTAAGAAACAAACCGAAACTATAATTTAACTTTTTAAATTTAATTAATATTTAATTTTGATTAGGAAAAAAAATCTTTAGAGAGAAATTTGTTTCGGATTTTCCGGGGAAAAATATGAACTTTGCCAAAAAAACAACATTAATTAATTTTTTTTATTATTTAGTTATTTCACGTTTATTTTTTATTTTACTTTTTTAGATCAAAATTTTTTACTCAAACCAAAAATAAAAAAAAACGACGTTAAACAATATTTTTGATTTTAATTAATAAAAAAAAAAAGAAAAAAATTAATATCGAAATTCTAATGATGTAGTCATTCGTCAAAAACACGGTTAAAATAAAAAAAAATTAATTTTTTATTTTTATATTTAATCTTTCGGGCTCTTTTTTTTTTTTTTTTTTTTTAAATAAAAAAAAAAATTTGTGTGAAATTTGTCTGAAGAAACAGCTTTAATTTTAAAAAAAATTTTTTATTATAGGATTTTTTTTAAACCTTTATCCGGCAAAAATATTTATTTATAAAATTTTTTTTTTTTATAGTTTTTAACTTTAAGAAATATATATTTACTAAAATTCACACCAAATTCTCTGAGCCATGCCCTTCCATTGCACACCGATCTTTGCGATCGCCCTGAATGTGGGCGACTCGGGTGCACTATTTCTAAATGTTGGGTTCGATATTCGCGCTCACCCTCACAGACAATACAAAAACAAATTTTAAAAAAATTATTTTAAATTATAAAAAAATTCCTTGTAAATAGCTCGATATCATTCACACTATGAATAACTTCCTGATTTTTGGTAAGTTTTCACATTCTGATGATTGAGGTTGTTGCAAGGCAAGATAAACAAATTTTGATGTAAAATTTATAATTTCAAAAGAGTGGCAAAAATTTAATAAGAAAGCAAATTTTGATTTAAAATCTATAATAAAAAACTAATGCTTACTTACGAAATTTAAAAACTGCTGCAAAATATGAATTTAAAAAAAACATTAACTTTTCCCCTACATACTTTTAATTAAGGAGAGGGATTGTTTTCAGTGGAATCAATTTATATTGAATTCATACTCCTCCCCAGTGTTTTGAACAGGAGTAGAGGTTTATCCCTTGTTTCCTGCTTCGGATCAGGTTTCCAGTTCCTTCTAATGTCTTTTTCATTCTCTTTCATGCTCAGTAACCCCTTTTGTTTTATTGGCATTATTGCTTTGCTTAGAGTGAATTGATTAAAAAATGAATCTTGAGAGCTTATTCAATAGCAATAGGAAATTTTTTTTTAAAAATCGATTTTCTCCCAAAAGATGAGTAGATATGTTTGTCTATTATTCAGTTCACACTCCTCAATCTTAGTGGCATTATCATCGCTTTGCTTAGGATGAATTGATTAAAAAAAAAGAAAAAAAACTGAGTTCAATTACCAGCCTGAATCAATACATTGACTTTGGCACAAATGACTTTAGAAAAGTCATGAATTTATCTCTCCTTGTACCTGTTATGAATCAAATAGCAGGGTAGACTAGGACCTTGGGCCATTGATTCTGAATTGATAACTGTTGAGAAATGTATGAGAAACCACTGCACTTTTCTTTCCTAAGTAATTCACAGAAAATAAAGAAAAGGGAATTTGTGGAGAGCCATAATCATCTATAGTTTGAAAGGTCATGGCATTTAACCCTAGAACACTAACCATCGGTATATAGTACCCAGCGCAAATTTTCCTATTTTTAATTACAATTTTCAGTACCTGATTTTCTTACCTAAATAGGTTCCTATCAATGTTAACTCAATGTACAAAGTTTGAAGTGCCTGCATGTAAAATATTTCAAATAAACATTTATATTTAATAGTTTTTTTTTATATTTTCAAATTTGGGTATAATATACCCATGGTTAGTAGTGGTGTAACTTTAATTGATGGTTAGTGTTCTAGGGTTGAAATATATATAACTGGAACAAAGATTGAATGGCACTGACACTCTCATGCAAAGAGTGGCTTTGAATGTCAGGTGGAGAGATCATCTGACCAGTGAGCAATTGAATCCTTCGTCCAGTATCAGGGATCATCAAAGAGTAAAATTAAATTTGAAGAAAATTTATGGAGAGTTAAAGACAAAATTCTCTGTGAAGTTCTTTTTTTCTTTTTTTTTTTTTTTTTTTTTTTAAACATATCACACCAAGCAAGGCATGGGTGCCACTAGCAGACAAGGGGTTACAGCAAGTGAGAACAGGAGTAAAGAGGGTCTTTGAGGAAAGGATATAGAGAAGGACAGGAATCAGGATCAGAGCATCAGGATATGTCAATTGACATTACATTTGAAGATTATAGCTATCAGGGAAGCAAATAGGAGAAAGGTAGTTCCACTGGTGGGAAGTGCGAGAGAAGAAGCTGTTGGAGTAAAAGGGGTGGTTACATTTAACCGTGAAAGGGTGGGACTGAGATACCAACCTGGTAGCATACTTAAATTTATGCAGTTTGGAAACCAGAGAAGATAGCTCATCAGAGCAGTTGCCATGAAAATACTTATAGAAAAGACATAGTGAAGCCACAGAATGTCTGTGAGAGAGTGACTGTAGATGAGATGCCAGATTGGGACCTACCACATTGCATATCCATCTTTGGATTTTGTCGAGGACCTCGAGATGTACAGCAGGGACACTAGACCATATATGGCATCAGTACTCAATGCAAGAATGAAGGGTAGATTTGAAGGATGGACTCAGGCAAGAAAAACCTTCTGGAGCAATACCGAGAACCAACTTTACTTGCAGTAGATGAAGCTTTGATTCAATGTAGTTGTTCCACCTCGGGTCAGTGGAAAATGTGAGACCAATCAGGTGCAGGGATGCACTCTCATGGAGTTGGGGATCAGCCATTCTGATGGGAGGCAGGGAGGGTTCTCTGTGGTGGGTAAATGAGAGCAGTTTTGTTTTGAAGGCATTAAAGTATGACATTGACACTTCTGGAGTGTCCAATACAGAGATCTTTTGTTTTGGAACTTTGGAACTAAATCAAGTGCTGATAAAATGGTTTCAGTATTGAGCAAATGTATATGCAAAAATATCTAATGCAGCGTTTCTCAATTGTTGCGTCCGGGTGCACCCTGAAAAGTAGCCAGGTGTGCCCGCAGCCATTTCATGCTCCAGTCAACCACAGATTGGAAGTCCGTTTCAAGACCAACAGCAATGTTGGATTTACTATTGAGGTAGGAGTAAATAGTAGTTGTCTGCACAGATGCCTACTTGGGAACTGATGACATCAGGAAGTTTGTTGATGAAGATCAGAAACATGTAGTAGGACCCAGATAGATAGAGCCTTGGGGAACACCAGCATTTGTATGAAATGAACTGGAGGAGAACCCATTTAGGATGAACTTCATTTCACAGTTTGACCAAAATGATTGTATTAAGGTAAATAATCATCCTGTAATGCCATATCCCTGAAGCTTACGAAGATGCCAACATGCCAAACCCTGTTGAATACTTTAGAGATATCAAAAGCTACAATATGAGCTTGTCTGTCATTGTCAAGTGCTTGGTATACAAATTCAGTAATGGCTGTGAGTACATCAGTGGTAGACCAGACAAATTGGAAACCTTATTGCTTGTCAGAGAGCAGATCATGGGATATATTGTGCTTAACCATTTTGGCATTGATTAAAGGCTCAGACTTTGCCAAATAGTGGTAGAAGACTAATAGGATGGTAGTTAAATGGGTCAGAAGAGTCTCCAGAGTTTTTGAAAACAGGGACAACAGATGAGGACTTCCAACTGACTGGAAAGCAAGGGTCAATGATGCAATAGTTATATAGTTTGGAGAGGACAGGAGCCAGTTCAGGAGCACATTTTTCAGGACTACTGCTGGTATCCCATTCCTGCCACTAGCCTAAACTGCAATACCTCTGACCTGCCAAATTTATTTCTCACTCCTTAATGTTTTTCTTATATTCTTTCACACACTGCATGTGTTGCATAGCCCCCTCATAACGGAAGGTCCTGGTCAACGGCGTCAATTTGATAAAATGTTGCATCTTCTCTCTTGGGTGGAGATCGCTAGATTTTTGGGGGCAGCAATGAATGACATCAAACACAGAGAATTTTAACTTAACTACTTTATTAATGTCAACTTGTACTATCCAGTGTGATGGTGGAATCGTTCCCCCTCACTGGGAATCTGTTTCAGTCATAAAGAGAACACATCTACATTGCTTGATGGTCAAAAACAACTCGCTGAAAAACTTTTCTCTAGCTATCATTCCCATGCAAGCTCAGTGAATCAAAGTCACTGTCCTGGGTAAGACGCTAAACTACATCCACATCCTGGGTAAGATACTAAACTACATCCATATCTAAAAATAGGTTTTAATACCCGCAATACATTTTTGTAAAAGGTTATTATTAGCAATGAATTTTTGAAGAAAAAAATGATTACACATTTTTGAAAAACAAAATATTACCAGCAATAAAAATTCTCTTGGTATTAAATGACCCGTAGAGGTTGATATGCTGTAAAACAAACCAAACCAATCAAAATTGACTTCCTTATTATGTCTTACATCTGACCCCAAAGATCAACCTCTGGAAGTTGGAGATGAGATACACTTCCTCTAAAAATAATAGTCTACTAAACTATTATTTAACACGTTTAATGGCTCTGTTG